CACATCTAAATGGTTCTTAAACACAGCCAGGGATGGTGACTCCACCACCTCCCTGGGCAGCCTATTTCAATGCCCCACCACTCTCTCTGTGAAGAATTGTTTCCTAATGTCCAGTCTAACTTCTGCTGTTAAGCTTTGGTACCTGTTTTGGGTGTTTAGATTTGTTTTTTGGGGTGGGGTTCTATTTAAATGGGGTCGATAGGACTGGAAAGCCCACAGACTGGTTTAGAGACCAAATTAAGATCAGGGTCATGGGTATCCACTTCATTTTGGTCCCATCACCAGAGATGTTTTGGAGGGGCTGGGTGTTCCGTAGCATGGGGGCTGCAGCAGAGGCAGGGAAGGAGCAGAGATGTCCCTTGCTTCATTTTTAAAGCATTCCCACCAGCAGGCTGTGATAACCTGCTATTTCAAGAAGAATAGACATCATCAAGGGCTGGAGGCACCAACCTGGGAGAAAGCAGCTAAAAAAAAAAAGTGCAAGAAAGGAAACAACCAGCCTAAAACATCCTGAAACACTCAAATCCTCTGGACAGTGGAATTCCTCTGGACAATGCAAGGGACTGGATATTCCCTAGCAGTCATGGGACGAGAGGAAAAGGAAAGTTTCAGCTGCCTACCAAGGACTGCTCCCTGGAGGAAGGTTGGGATGAATCTCTTCTTCCAGGGAAGGGACGGAGCGTTCTCCCCACAACCAGCTCCTCACCCCACTGTGGCCCAGGGCGGGGATATAGGAACAGCCCTGCCCGTGGCCAAGAGAGTGGAGGAGATGAACTCATTCCCTCCTCCATGGGCTTGTTCCTATAGATCAAGCCACTTGGAATATCTATCCCGTGTTTCGATTGTGCCTCATGGGCCCACTTGGCTCACTGACGAGAGGACAAGCAAGGAAAGGTGAACTTCCAGCCAAGAGTGGCACGGTCTGCGGCCCCACACAGCAACTAGGATGTGTCCTAGCTGGTACAGACTCAGAGCTGGACAAAGAGGACATGAACCTGTTGGAGCGGGGCCAGAGGAGGCCATGGAGATGCTGGGAGGGCTGGAGGACAGGCTGAGAGAGTTTGGGAGGTTCTGAATTCCCATTTCGAGATAATTTATAGCCTTTGTGAATAAACAGGCTTATGGCTGTTTAAACACTGTTTAAACAGTCATATATACAACAGCCCTGGGCAAGCACAACTGAAGAAGAGAAGAGTTGGCCGAGCTGGGAAGGGGTAGCAGAGGAAAGCAGGCAAAACTCAAAACATTTGTCATCAGAAATGAGGGTAACACCACCTCACCCCCCTCCCCAGTTCTCATTCGCCCTCCTACCCACAGCTCCGTGCCAGAAATCCAAGATACCTTTGGGTGAAACCATCCCTTGTCACGTTTCCACCACTGCCTTTCACACTTACATATACAACAGCCCTGGGCAAGCACAACTGAAGAAGAGAAGAGTTGGCCGAGCTGGGAAGGGGTAGCAGAGGAAAGCAGGCAAAACTCAAAACATTTGTCATCAGAAATGAGGGTAACACCACCTCGCCCCACTCCCCAGTTCTCACTCGCCCTCCTACCCACAGCTCCGTGCCAGAAATCCAAGATACCTTTAGGTGAAACCATGCCCCTGGAAACATTTCCACCACTGCCTTTCACACTCCTCCATCTGACTTGCTGCAGGCGAGTTCACACCAACTTCACCCCACCTGGAGACAGCAAAAAATTGCAGTTTTAACTTCACAGAATCACAGAATCATCTAGGCTGGAAGAGACCCTTGGGCCACAAGGATGATCAGGGGGTTGGAGCACCTCTGCTCCGAGGACAGGCTGAGGGAGCTGGGGTTGTTCAGCCTGGAGAAGAGGAGGCTCCGGGGAGACCTAATAGCAGCCTTCCAGTACCTGAAGGGAGCTACAGGAAGGCTGGGGAGAGCCTGTTTAGAAAGGCCTGTAGTGACAGGACGAGGGGCAATGGCTTCAAGCTGGAGGGGAACAGATTTAGACTGGAGATGAGGAGAGGGTTCTTCACTGGGAGGGTGGTGGAGCACTGGAACAGGTTGCCCAGGGAGGTGGTTGAGGCCCCATCCCTGGAGATATTCAAGGAGAGGCTGCCTATTTCAATGCCCCACCACTCTCTCTGTGAAGAATTGTTTCCTAATGTCCAGTCTAACTTCTGCTGTTAAGCTTTGGTACCTGTTTTGGGTGTTTAGATTTGTTTTTTGGGGTGGGGTTCTATTTAAATGGGGTCGATAGGACTGG